TGTTAGAATAGTCGAGTGTCGTTCATCAGTGCTGCTGAGTCGGAGTCCAGTAAATTTCCAGGTCAGGAATTACGGAGGAAAGTGGGAGGGAGGACCCAGGGCACAGTGTAACACAGGGCCATTGAACTGTCCAGATCCTAACTGATGCGCTCTGGATCTGTTTGCAGTTCATAAAATAAGTTGCTTTTAAATACTGGCACTGTTATATTCATTTGATAGCAGTGTCCTGTGAAAATTTTTGTGAAGGAGATTGGCATCATCCAATTGTAATATAAAGTAGGAAGATGAAAAGAGAAATTTTTGACCCAGAGTGGGAGGATGATTTTGCATTTACCATTGGGAGATAGTATGCACTTATCTGCAATGTGTCACTCACTCACTACAAAGCCAGTAACACTGGCATACACTCTGACAAATCACAAAACCTTTTAGTATCACCCTAAATCAGAATTCGTAAAATCCAATCTCTGTAAGGTGGTAACTGATTAAAATATACAGTATACTGTAATTTAATTAGTTTTGTATTTTTCTTTCATATTTTTATATAGATTTTTGACCAAATATTTACTAAGACAAATATACTGTAATTAAAAATAGTTTTATATTGTACTACTTTTCATCACTTCGAGCCCATTTTGTATTTTCCAAATGCAGACTTGCAAAAGTTTTTTTCTTGAGATGTGCCAATAGTTCATTATGTGTTAAACATGCTCAGCACCCTTAAAACAATCATAACTCAAGATATTGATAACTTAACTGCATTATATGTATGTTATACTCCTGATTATTGAAACATAAAATTTTACAATTTGAAACAACATACCTAAGTAAATATTACTGCACACATGTATTTCTTAGAAATATTTGCAAATAATTTTTTTAATAAAATGTGTATGTAATACTAAAAACTTGTGTAAAATTTACATGTCTTGCGGCTGTAAATGGCAACAACCTTAGAGTAAACATATCTGGCCATCCCTGGTATATACAATGCTGTACTCACCCTTGAATGCTTTGTCATCACCCCAGACCTAGAGTAGGCAGATACTGTTCACTCAGCTGACTGCCAATACATAACTGTAATCACATCTTAACACTTGCAATGGAGTGGTGCAGGGCCAGTGGTGTGCATTTGACCCTAACATGATGCAATGTCAGGTCACCCACATTGTCCAGAGTAGAGAGTGAGTGGGTCTCATGCCCCACTGCAGATGTCTTGAATAAAGATAAAACTGTAGTGTTCAGTATAGCAGATAGCGCAGCACAGTATGTAACTGTAATCACTCTTAGGTTCTTAACACTGCTGTAACACTATTCTGGTACAATGTGTAACCTGCTATAAAATTATTGCACAAAAAACAGGTTGTGAGGAACAATCTTTTACAATGGCAGCAGAATATGAACTAAGAGGGACCCAATTATTTGGAACATGATGCAATCTCTCAGAGACTCCTGGAAAATTTGGAAGAGAAATTTCTGAGCGGAGGAGATTTGGCAAAAATTTCACCGTTATTTTACACTCATAAAATGAGCCTGTTTTTTCAACCTCGAAACTCATTCCACAGGAGCCGGAATTGAGTGAATTTTTTCCCGAAAAATTCCCAAGCCAATTCAATTCCGGGGTGGAAGTTCCGGTTAATGAAGATATTACACTGTACTGGCAATTATGATTTCTTTATTAGCGTTTTTACACAGTTAATTTTCTTCGTGTCTTGTTTTAATCATCACATATGCGGAAGCAGACTGGTTCTTTGTATGTCACTATTTGCTACTTCTACTTCTTTGGATTCTTTGTCATCAGGTGTAGTCTTGACCTCTGGCTCTATATCTTCAAGTATGAAGTCTTTAAGATAGGCTGACGTGGTGGCATCAGTCTGGGACTGATCTTGTCATGAATCGCCAGGTTCCTGGCTGCTGGCAACAGCCTTCTCAAAAAACAACATATTCAGTACATCCAGAGCTACAACTTCCGAGCGTGCTGGAGGCGGCCGTCGGTCTATACACGCCAAGGTCTACATGATCCAAAGAAAATTCAATATACCTGTAATTATGGCCCACTGTCTCTCTCTTATTTCACTTTATTCGACTTTACTAGAAGAATAAGTCTCTGGAGTAATGTCACATGCAGTAACTTGGAGAAAAGAGCCAGATGAAACATAATGATGACATTCATGACATACACTACATTATTTCCAGACAATATTGTGTATCTTACCTTGTTTAGTGTGAAACGAACTGTAACTTGAGCAAAAACATTCTCTTTATTAAGAAGTTCAGTACAGCAGGCGTGCTGCACTACATGTTGAGAGCCAAGAACCAGAAACTGCCATCTAATTGTCTTCTGGGCGCGATTGGTGAACTGACAAGAAGATGGGCTTTCGCTCTGTTACATTCTGATGGGTACTTTTATGTAAAGCTGTACCAAAAATAATTTAAATAACTTTTATAATCTGTACAATCTAATAAAACTACAGCTTAATATTATTCTTCAAAGTAAATACTGTACAGTAAAACCTGAATACGGGACCACCTGAGTAATATGCGTCAAATAACCGTTCTTGTAAAAAAATTTAATTTGAAAATAACGTGTATCTTGTAGGGCATTGTTATTGTTGTGTGAACTAGCGAGGCCGCGTGGTCCCCACTAGCAGAGCCTGCATCACAATAACTGCGACCGCACTGCACTCACTCTACATGTGGCTATTACTCCAATTAACAAGTGCTGTTCTCTCCAGTTTATATAAATAACACACATTGTGAGAACAATGCACAAGCAAGTCTTGGTTAAGATGAGCCCCAATAAGCAGAGCGCCTTACCATAAGAACTCAGTGCTAGCCATGGTCAGCAATATATGCTCTGTTCCCAAGATAATGCGAAATTTGTAACTCTGAATTTACTGACAGCAAATTGCTGTATAAGCGTTACCCTCTGCACCTCCACTGTGAAAGTGAAAAGTGGGTCCCATACACACTCATATAATCTTCACTACATACATGTAAGCCTACAGCTGTGTGCGTGAGATCTTGATGACTATATGTTGCCACCGATTCATGTAATGAAACTGTAAGTTATTGAAAAATAATTTCAATACTCTAATGTATCTTGAAATAAAGGAAATATAATATAAAACTATAAAAAAGAACAAATGAAAGCATGGTGTGAACAGTAGTCTGTGTGGGGGTGAATGTATATAAGTTGCATCATGCTCTCCCCGATGTGATCAAGGCATACACAGAAGCGCAGCAGCCAGGCATCTCTCAAGTCCAGCTGGCACAGCTGAACCGTCATCTTTCTTGGCATCACCCATAGGATAGTTTCAAGGCAGAGAAATGGATATATATACTAAATATATAAAAATATGTGCAAATGTATTTTTATGTTGTATGTATTACAGTATTTTTCATTGTTTATTATCAATTTTTTAAGTAATTTTTGTCAGAAGTGTAAAACATAGAATAATGAAGGATCGAACCTTTTTCATTTGTGCCATTGTTAAATCTACCTATAACAACAACATTCACAAGAATGAAGTGGATTTTGTGAACATATCCACTTCATTGCCAGTGGTAGCATACTGTACACAAATTTACATTATCCATATTTTACAGCTCTGAAAGCTTCTGAATCCTAGAGCCTTACCTACAACTACTGTATTAACACTTTGACCAAATACGAGCAATTTCCAGAAAAGTATCATAAGTGCAGATTATTTTACTTGAACTAATTTAATATGAACATAAATAAGTCAATCTGTGTTAGTGTATCGCTGGCTATTTGTTGTTTGAACAGTTGTGCCTCCTGCTGATATGAATAATGAAGTCCGTCTGATGCCCGATGTTGCTGTGACAATACTCCGGTACTCAGGTATTTTGCTACTGTCATCACAATTTTTAGCATTGCCATGTTTTGTATAATGGTAACAATCAGGAAATACATAAATATTTAGAGACAGGTATCCTTTCATCTTCATTCACATATGAACCTCTTCCTACTGTCCACCTGCACATCGCACTACAGCTTCAGATTGAAAGGTAATAAATGCACACCTACCCTTCTTAATAAAATCCAAGTACAGTATATATAAAATGCAGCTTCTGTCTACATCCAACAACTAAACACCATAATTAAACATTCACCCTAAACTTTGTAGTCAAACATGTAACAAACTTCAAAGGTCTTCATTGGTCTAAAGGCAGAAATTTAAATTTGATATAGCAGGAAATTCACTGACAAGAACTAACCCCATAATCAAAATTTGTTACTAAAATTTTAATTACTACCTGCAGTATAATATCCCTTACACACTGAAGGACATAATAAAAGGCACAACTGTTTATGCTGCACCAATCTAATTTACTCACTGCTGCTTTTGATCCTTGAGATAATTTCCCATCACCCTCCCAGGGAACATAAGCCTCAAATGTTTCTGGCGTGGAAGCTACGTATACAGGTTTTCTCTTGCCATGGGCGAGACAGGCTGGATGCCTTCTCCTTCATCTGGACATAGGAGTCATGTTGGTAATATTTCAACACTAAAGTGAGGCTGTACAGGTAGCATGCTATCTCCAAGATTAGCAAGACATTAACTAACAATGATAAATTACATGCCATCCATAACCAGCATGGAAGGTCATCATCGAGCCAGTAATAAAAGGTGACAAAAATTCTCCAGGTATTTTGGCTCACTAGAACTAATGATTTTACAGATCATCAACACAGTTTAAATTCAGTTCAGCTTTAAAGGGAACCAGTAGGTCAATTAGTAACAAAATATGGTACAGGTATTATAATACAGTATATTGTTACAATAAAATTTCCTCCTGCAAATACAATTCTTTAAAATGCCCATTAAAAGCAACTAGTCTGAGGTAAATGACCTGACTTATCCCAACCAATTAAAATGAACCAAATCTCCCACAATTGTCTTATTACATAACCAAGAGTGCTTACGTGTGACCTAAAACAACACAGTAGATACTCTACTAACTTTGGCCCGTATTTTCATCAGAAGTCATTTCTTCCACACTTTTTTTCATTAAGGTTTGGAAGATCCAATTTGATGACCTGAAAATGCAGAAATGCAATATAATGTACAGTAAAATAAAATGTCCACAGATCATCAGCTTAACCATATCATAATGAATATTACATTTTGACTATAGTTTTTTAAATCAAGGCAACTCATTCAGAATCTTAATGCAGCTATATGTATCTGTTAAATAAAGATATAAACATGAATACTATAAGAATTAAACTTACTACAAACATGAAAAATACCCATACAGAATGATGGAATAATTTGGTAAATTTACTTAGGTTAGACTTTTTTTGTACAATGCGTGCAATAAATCACAAAGTCCGAGACAATTTAGAAATAGGAGTTTCTGGGCTTTGCGTTATTTCCAGACTTCTACCAAATACCTAGGAGTTCTGAGGCCACTGTGCACTATCAACCCATTCACAGGGAAACAGTCCAGGTATATCAAAGGGAGAAGGGTCCCATGTTTTTGGGTGGGGGGCAGCAAAGTGAGCGACACAGCTGGGGGTTTTGGGGGTGCTCTGAATTTGTTTTTTTTAAACCTGACCAATATACGGGGCATTTGAGGCCATTTTGAAATATCTGCACTTGATATTAGGAGGAATATTCTGAGGTCAATAGTAATTACTTTTTATTATACTAAAATCCTGAATACAATACTGTATTAAAGAAAAAATATTGGAATTTTCTGATGAAAAGGGGGGTCCGCCCACCCCCTGGATCCACCATTGATTCATTATCCCCAAGATGACCCTTAAATTTGTACTTAAATGTGCTACAAATGTCATAAGAGGCAGGCAGTTTACTTCCTTACCTTCAAAGATCTGGCCTTCTTGAATTTCGGTATATAATGTTTCCGTTTGAAGGCAAAATTAGGTCTGAAGTGTTTGTAGTTGGGATCCTTGTAGACATAGTAGCTTCGACTCAGGGGAGGTAAGCAGACACTACTACTTGAAGACTGCAAGTGTCATTTGAAAATGTTTTAGTTCAGGAAAATCTTAGCAGTACAGTATTCTGGAGATACAAACACAACAATGGCTGTAGGTCTGGAGCTATGATCCGATATATTGTACTGTACTCTACTAACAAACCTTAAAAGAAATACAATAAATACTTTGAGAAAATGAATTAGAAAATAAAGAAAATAAAAAGAGATATAACCAAGAAGGTTATAAAATAGAAATAAAGTGGCAACCCCAAACATTAAAAAGTAGCATCTTACACTTCCCAAGAGGAGACAAGAAGCCATCTTCTATTTAACTACTACATAGTTATGGTCACGGCATTCATCTGTCAATGTGGACAAGTTGCAGGCATGCAAGTGTTCAAAAGTGCAACACAGAACTGATAGTGTAGAAGAAATATATGTTTCAGTGCAACAACCGATAGACCTAAAATTACACAATGCCACATCAAGAAAGTTGCTTTCCTTGGTACCATATAGTACTGTATATAAAAGTAAGGCTATACAGCTTATGCCCCCAGTAGTTGAAATTTCTGTTATATGCAATCAATAGCTTAGGACCAGGCATGGACGACCCGCTGCCCATGGGGCGATGTGGCCCAGACCATTTCTATGTGTCCCATGAATGAGAAATTCTATTTAATGTGGCCCTAGGTTCAGGTAGATTTGTTTTTCTTCACACATGAAGTATATAAAGTCCAATCACAGATCCAGACTCACAGAGGGCACCTGGAGGGCTGCCTCAGTGTCTCTACATTCCTCAAAAATTTGAACGATTATGTAGAAACATCCAAACCCAGGTGTCCCACTAGCTACAACTGGTAGTACTGTCATAACCTCCTATCTCTGACTATAAAAAGTTGGACAATACAAAACTGAGTGTAAATAGTGTCTTACATTAAGTGTCTTACTAACTGAAACCCTGACTGGTTGATTATATATTATCATTGATTTATATATTAGTGTCTCATAAAACAGAAAATATTGTGATAAAATAAATTGATCTGCACCAAAAATGTATATTAATTCTAACCTTGACTGTTATTATGTCACGTGCATAATTCTATTACAGGTATTTCTGATGTTGATCATGAAGTGGAAACACTGTGAATGTAAATTTTAAAGTAAATAGAAGTGCCTATAGGTTGTTTCATTGTAGTTCCTCATGCTGTAACTGTAGGAAAATCAACGTACAGTATCACAGACTGCCTCACTCATCTTCTGTTAAATGCCAAGAAACATTAACACTTGACTTAAAAAAATATAATGATAGATTTATTTCATAAATGGGGAAGATTGTGATTATAAACTGAAAATATCATTAAGTGGATGGGATTTATAAACACGATAGTGGTCCGTGTTAATACAATATTAACACTACTTTTGGGTTGGCTAGGATATAAATTTTTTGTGGTTGGCCACAGAAAATACTTAAATCATATCGTCCCCTTGACTGAGGAAAGGTTGCCTATGCGGCTTAGACAATTCTAAAAACTTTCTTATATACCTTTTCCTCACGATTAAGAACAGGGTCTGGGGCGGAGCCCCAGCTGGTGGTTAGGTATGGTTTGATAGGTTGGGAGACAGACCTTAAATTTAGTTTTTCAATTTTTTCATTTGAAAAGTGTGATTTTTCCTAAGGTTTCCAATAGATCCAAATGATTCTGACCTTCGTTCATGCAGTAAATCACTTGTTTGAGTCTCTCCCTCAAAACCCCAATTTCCCGGCTCTCCCCATTATTGTTATGGGTGAGAGGAAGATCTCAGAAAAGTTACTTGGATGGAAATAAAGGTCAGAATCGCTGAATGACATCAAATACCATCAGAAAAACACATCTTTACCATAAAGCTCTGTTGAGGCATAATTGGTGAGAAGTTAGGTAAGGTTAGGTAGATTTGATTGGTTAGGTCAGGTTCTGTTCATTGTCGTTTACATGTTGTTTAGAATCATAGGTATTACTGTATTATCGTATCGGTTCTGCAGCGAATTTTAGGATTTTAAGTTACAACCGTCTGAGAGAGGTTCAGGTTAGGTTAAAATTAAGTTTTTCAGAACGTTTATTATGTTTTTGAACGATTCTGACAAATTCCAAAATAGGTTGCATGACCAAAACGATAATTTTACAGTATCATCCAAATAATGTCTCCCAGAAATTTGGTACAATTCCAGAAACTCCTTTTGGTGCTAACTATCTGTTCCACCATTCCTTTGAAGTTCATTGATAAAAATGGGCGTATATCATAGACAATAACTGAATATGTTATAAAAAAACGACTATGAATTTTAGTCACCAAATGGTCAAAAGAAATAACTTTCTTGGACAATAATTTGTTAAATAAATTTACTATTTTTACCATTGTCTGTGTGTACATACTGACAATGTAATCTTTTTGATGATCATATTGCATAAATATCTATCAATTATTTTAGTTTCGGTTAGGTTAGATATAGTTTCTGGGTTCTGTGAATAGGTTAGATTAGGTTAGTTAGGTTATATTTGATTAGGTTAGGTTCGGTTTGGTTTACAAAAGGTTAGGTAGGGTAAATAAATGGATGCCAAAACTAAATTTGACCCTATTTTCTATATACAGCCTAGTCTTACTAATAATGTCAATTTGGAGAGTTGGCTGGTGATCCTCCATCTATCCTTCCCTTCACGTTCTCTTCAATAATGTAATGTAGGATCAACCTCACACCTGGCACTGCTTATAATTCATCAAATTATATAATGACCACGAAGGAGTGCGAGAGTCTTGAGGTGGTAGACTCACACTCAGACCCACCGGCAGTAACAAACAAGGTGACGTCACAGAGTTCGTGTTCGTCAAGAGTTACTCATGATGTCATTGCACTGACTGACATATATATACTGTACTATAGAGATATCTATTAAAAATATTATATAATTTTGTCCATATTGTCTCAGCATGTGAACAGAGCGTGCGGATAACAAAAAAAAGTACACCGTCTAGAGTATTAGCTAAGCAGGGCAGGCGCTCTAATCTCTGTGGTAACTGAGGTTCCGTTGAGCAGGCACCAGGGTCTGGTGGCCCAATTTGGGTATTTTCAATCAATTGACAGCAAGAAATTCTATTTTCTTTTATTGATTGATCTCGCTCATCTCTGGGGACTAGACGGGGAAGTACCTCACTCTTAAAGATTGTGATGATCGACGTGATGTTGATTATTTTCAGTCTAGTGTTTTACAGCTTCCACTTATTTATTTTTTACTTTATCCTCTTCGCCACTGATCGGCTTGTTAGCCGCTTAGGCGATCGGTCACGACTCTTTCCTTTTATTCTTCACCAAAAGGTCGTCTTCACATGCCCGGGCGATCGGTCACGTCTCCTGTCACGCACTGTTGGCAAATACTGGGCATGCACCGGCTCCTGAATGTACCTGAACCTGCTCCAGTGTTGGTCAAGTCTTCTCGAAAGAGCTACACTCGGTGCCGTGTCACAACACTCTCTGGTAGATTGTTCCAAGAGTTTACAACCCTCACTCCTGGAAAAAGTTTGCCTCTCACGGTTTTCCGGACTTGCCTTCTTCAATCTTGAGCTGTGACTTCTGGGGGCGAGAGCGTCCGCCAGCTCCAAGTATGACATCTAACTGAGTAGTGCCCCTGAGATGCTTATAAACCTCAACTAGGTCCCCTTGCTCCGTCTGTAGAGCTAGGCAAGTTCAGGCGCTCCAATCTCTGAGTAGCTGAGATGCCGAAGTCCAGGCACCAGTTTGCGTGGCTCCTCCTGAACATTTTCAACCAACTGACAGTCCCTAGTTATCTCGGGACCAGATGGGTTGACAGTATTCAGATGGGGAAGCACTTCACTCGAAGATCGTCACGAGGGACGGACCGTCTAGATATCTGAACGACCTTCTTATAAGACCCACAATTTATTTGCCTGATTTACCTTCTTCTCACAATGGCCTGAGAACTTCAGCTCATTGTCAACATACACACCTAGGTCCTTCTCACACACAGTCTCAACTAGCATTTTCTTCATCCTGTTGGGACATATGGTACGCCTTACCGTTGGTACGCCCAGGTGCATCCTCTACACTTCGTGATGAATCTCAGCAGCCATTCCTTCGACCATTCCTGGAGCCCACAGAGGTCCTTCTGCAGCTCTTCACAGTCCGTTGGTTCTTAATTTCCGAAATAATTAGGCGTCATCGGCAAACATTTGTGTGGAGGAGGTGCAACGTCAGGATATCATTTATGAAACAAACAAACAACATCGGCCCAATACACTACCCTGCGGTATCCCACTTGTTACAGGTACAGATGACGATTTCTGCCGATAATCACACACATTGCTTGCGGTCATGTAGAAAGTCTTCATCCACGCTTGTATTATTTCCGAATTCGCATCTTCCAGTTTGATTTTCAGCCACCGTCGAAAGCCTTGGCAAAATCTAGGTAAATATATATCATTTTACTTTACTTAGCTATAATCTGAGCTAAGATTTTACCTGAGTATCCTGGTTCTGCAATATTAGTTTTATTACCATTAGGTGATGACATTTGACTCAATTTGAAGTTATTTTTTTTACCTTACTTCTATCCTTCACTACTGATCGGCTGTTAGCCGCTTAGGCGATCGGTCACGCCTCTGTTGATTACCGTTGGCAAGTACTGGGCATGCATCGGGTCCTGAATGTACTTGAACCTGCTCCAGTGTTGGTCAAGTCTGGTCTTGAAAGAGCTCACACCGTGCTGTCACAAACACTTTCTGTAGATTGTTCCAAGAGTTCACACTCTTGCAATGAAAAGTTTGCCCCACAGTTCTCTGGACTTGTGGCTTCTTCAATCTGAGTTGTGACCCCTTAGGTGAGCATCCGGCAGCTCCAAGTAAGGACAATCGACTGAGTAGTGCCCTTGGAGATGCTTATTGCACCCCCACTTTAGGTCACCCTTGTCAGCCTGTAGTATAAGCTAGGTGTCTAGGCACTCCAATCTCTAGGTAGTTGGAGGTGATCAAGTGCAGGCACCAGTCTGGGGACCCTTAACATTTTTAAACAACTGACAGTCCCTAGCATATCTCGTGACCAGACGGGTGACAGTACTCCAGGATGGGGAAGCACTTCACTCTTGAACAGGGGTCACCAAACACGTTCGCTGACCGTCGTTCATCAGGCCCGGCCAATGGGACTTGAATTTGCTTTGATAAAACGGAGAACATCAGACGTTGATACAATTTAAATTTAAATATGTTTAGAATACTAGGAGATCACGATGCGGAGACCTCCTGACTGCTATGTGCCTTAAATTTCATTATTTCATAGTATTCTAGATTTTCTTGTTTATTGTAATGTTTGGTTATTTCGCGCCATCCCAAGTCCTTCCCTGCTCGTGGTAGTTCCACCACGCCTGACGCTACCATGGTTTCATGGTATTGTAGTGACGCCTCTACAACTGCCTACAACTGCGTAGAGAGTCATTGCCACCACCTGCTACCGCCTTCCCTAGTAACCAACCAGATGTTACCTTATCTTAGCAACGGAACCAGGAACCGGCACTTCGGTTTTCCTAACACGACTCATAGCGGTGCTGGGTATATAAGCTCTGTCTCTCCATTGAGATTCATTCTGACCATTCTTTTTGAACAAGTAACACTCCTCCTCCGCCACTGCCTGGCGGCCCTCGCCAGCGTAGCATGGCGACCCACCAGCTGTCCTTCTGAGCTTCCTCACCAACCAGCTCTTTCATTCTGGTCTCTCTCCATGAACAAGCAACACCTCCTCCAGCAAGCTCCACGCTGTCAGCATTCATTCAACCAGGAGGTTAGCAACAGGCAACATCTTCTAACGAAGCTCCTGCACATCTACCTCCTTCAACACGCTATTTCACCAAACGCTCTCTACTGAGCAGCTCTCACCACCGGCACCTCCAGCACCAGACTGTAAATCATATAGCTTATTATACAAGAAACCACCTTAAGTTCTTCCATCCTGGTGCGACAACATTAATAACTCTATACCTTAAAGTATCTTTCCTCATTTCCCAGATGCTTGCCGTCAACACAGCTCCGACGCCTCCAGAAATATTTACTTTTTTTGCCTGTCATCCATTTTATAGGTATATAACAAGGATTTTTGTTTGACAGTGATAGGTGAACTACAAGTGTGATTAGAGTTCATAAAGTTACAAACATAGCATAACAATGCTATAGAAGCTCGTGGTATTATGTAAAATATTATCCCCAGCTCAGAAAATTCCCTCAAGGTGTTAATCGAGCTGGTCTTGAAGGTTTATTTAGGCCCGCCCTATTTATATATTTTGTAAACCTTATTATGTGATACATTCTATTACCAAAGGTAGTATCTTAAACTTATATGTACCTTTGGTGAGCCGTAGCTTCACCAGTGACCCTGAATCTCTGCTTTTTCTTGTGTTTCAATATGATTTTAATTATGTTTCCAATTCAATGTCTTTTTTCTATTTTCAGATCCTTTTTTCTTCTATTCATTATGTCTGAAAATGCTGAAATGAATCTGTCACATTTACAAACAGTGCATAAGATGGCAGAACGAGGAAAACCGTTTACTGATGGCAACTTCATCAAGAGGTATGATGGAAGCAGCAAATGACTTGTGTCCTGAGAAAGCCGATTTGTTTGAAGTATCAGCCTTTGGCAAGTTCAGTTGTGCGGAGAACAGAAGAACTTGGAAGAACATAGTGCTACAGATGTTACGAAAAGCTGAGAACTACTTGTGGTATTCTCTGGCGCTGGATGAGTCTACTGGTCTCTCGAGTACGTCACACCTCGTGTTCATTCGTGGTGTCAATTTGGACTTTCAGATAACGGAAGAGTTGGCATCCGTTTGCAGCATGCATGGAACAACAACTGGAAAGACATTTTCATGGAAGTGCAAAAACTTTGCAAGACTATAACCTTCAGTGGAATCAGCGAGGTGTTACAGTTGATGGAGAAAAACATGGCTGGAGGGAGGAAGGGTCTGGTGGGGCAGATCAGGACTCAATTGGAAGATTTGCAAATTCCGGGCACTCTGTTCATACACTGCATCATACATCAGCAAGCACTCTGTGGAAAGATTTAGATATTTCTTGTGTACTGAAACCAGTCGTTTCTGCTGTGAACTTCATTCGGGGACATGCACTCAATCACCCTCAGTTCCAGGCTTTTCTTGAAGAAATTGATTCTGATTTCTGTGAGCGTGTTTTATCACACAGCAGTGAGGTGGGTCAGCTGCAGTAAAGTCCTGTTTCTTGTTTTTACAAGTCCGAAACGAAATAGATGTTTTTCTCACTGAAAAAAAGATAAGAGCTGATCCACAGCTGTCAGATCCTACATGGCTGTCAAAGTTGTCATTTTTGGTCGACATCACATCCCACATGAATGAACTGAACTTGAAACTTCAGGAAAGGATAACCTCATCTGTGATCTCTACAGAATCATCAAGGATTTCGGAGAAAGCTGTCATTGTTGAAGCACAACTGGAAGGAGAAAACTTCCTCTCATTTTCACTGTTTCAAAGAGTTTTGTTTACATCGCTAGAAGATGTCAACCTCGATTTTCCGAAGATTATTCGTGACTTGAAGAAGCATTTTTTGAAGAGATTTTCAGGTCTTGACAGAATTGAGAGTGACATTCTTCAGTTCCAGAACTGCTTGATT